GTGGAGATTTCCTGTATGTGCTAAACAATGCATATACTATTTAGTCATTTGCTTGCATGCCTCACTGGGTTGCAAATGATATTTTGACACACATTGAGCCTGGAAGATCATGATGCCATCCTGTCCTATTTGTCTAGAAAGTCAATGCTTATTACAGTACATGAGCGTTGAGCAATGATGATTGTAAAGGAACAGTGGATGAATTGGTGAAGGTGTTGCAATCTGTATGTATGTTTGAAGCATCCCTCTGTAGGAGCTTGCCAGCGGGAGAGAGTCTTATAATGCGCTTCAAAGATTCTTCTCGCTGGTCACTTACTGAGAATAAGACGGATCAAGCGTCACTCAGTCGAAATGAGAGAGAGAGAGAGGGCATTGCAGAAGGTTTCTTTATGTAATGTGCATCCTCCTGTTGCAGATGACCCATTAAGGGCAAACAGTGTGTGTGTGTGTGTGTGTGTGTGCAAATATCAAAGAGGTCGTGTGTCTTCTCTGGTGTGGACCATTACCTTTGATGGCTGATTCTTATCCACCGAGAACCGCCAAGCATCCCCAGCTCTGAACTCTCAGTGCAGTGGACATGTGAAATAAATGTAATGTGTCTCGGGGACGTCAGGCAGCTTTGTTTCTGTCTCGGACTGTATCTTCCTTGTCACCATCTTGAGTGGTATCTTCAATCATAGTCCAGCTCCCCCTCCCCAAACTAATTGCTCCATTCTTTTCATCCACTTACATCAATCTTTTTTTTTTTTTTTTTTCTTGTCCTCCACGTTTTCCCTTATCTTTGTCATTGATAATCTGCCAGCATGACTGTTAAAAGACACTTTGGCAAAATGCCGTATCAGTCATTACAGAAATTAGACGAGAAAAGGGCCGTTCGAGACTGATGGTTTTCAGAACTGTTATTCGAAAAGTTATTCGAGCTTCTGAGAGAAAACACACATGGCTGTTGTTGGATTAAAGAGCTTCGAGAGTTTTATGACATTTTTGTTTTGCACATCCTACGTTTTCTTAAAAAAAGGAAATTCGACATGCTTACATAAAGGGAAATGGATACAAAAGTACTTTAATTATATCTCCAATGAATAGATGAGAGGTAAACTAAAAAAATGATATATTATTTGTAGCCTACAGTTAACCGTTATGTGCCAAATCAAGCGTTTGGTTGAGCATGTTTTTGAATAATAATTAAAAATACACTTCAGCTTTTTCAAAGCACCAAGTAACATCATTTTGTAAGGTTAGGGCTCTTACAGTGTAATACAGGGGTTGGACAAAAAACCTGAAACACCTGGTTTTACTACACAATAATTTGTTAGAATGGTGAGGGCCTCATTTTGCATCCAAACACAGCACCAATTGACAGATAGAAGTCCTTCACAGTGACCAGAGGGATTATGAGCCGTTCCTCTTCCAGAACAGTGTCCAGGTCACTATATGATGCTGGTGGACTCGCTCCTCCAAAACACCTCAATAATATTTAGATCTGGTGACTGTCAGACCATGGGAGATGTTCAACGTCACTTTCATCTTCATCAAACCCTTCTGTCACAAGTCTTGCTGTGTGTGTTGATACACGGTCTGAGCATCAGGTGCTCATGATCCTCCAGAAGGGTTTGGTAGTCCTCGGCAGTGTCGTGTCCATCAAATACAATCAGGATTGTCATGATATTGGAGCTCAAACCATCACTGATCCACCCGTGCTTCACTCTGAAGATTGGCCGCCAGGCATATAGATGTGAAACCTCCAACATTGGCCAGTGTTTCAGTTTCATTGTCCAACCCCTGTATGTAAAAAAATTATGCTTAGCTTGCAAAATTTCACCCAAAACAGTTAACATGGCTGGGGTGATTTGTTTCTGACATCCATGTTAGAAGAAGTGCTGTTGATTGACGCTGTGAAATCTAGTGGATTTTTTTCTCTCGCATAATATACCTCAACCAGATAAGATGATAGAGATGGCTCAGTTACGTTAGATACTCCTCTCAATAAAATATAGTGACTCAAAATGTGCTCAACCGTTTGGTTGAGAAGTCAGTTAAAGGGTTTGGCAAAGAGGGACATACCTGTAAATTCAAGCTTTGCCTTTTATGTTTTTCAGTGCCACCGTGACGAATGCGAGGGGGAGATTACTCGCGACTGCCGGCAGATTTGAAAGCCTGTTCAAGATGGAGGATCACGCCGGGCTATTCTCGAGGACAAGTAACAGAGTCGCCAAGGAAGCGAAAGAGGGACTCAAAACTGCACATCAACAAGACCAAAGTCAGTATTGGAGTGGCTTTTACAAGATGGAAACTCATGAGGAGCAAGGATTTTAAAAGGTGCCTGCTTTCTTCTCGACAGGTGAATTCAAAGTTTTATAGTTGCTTAGTCGTGCATAACGCTAAAATGACGTCTAGGATATTTCTCCTCGCGTCAGTGAACACTCATGGACAAAGTCGAACTGGAAGCCATCTTGAATAATATGGCCACCATAGGAGTTAAAACCAGGCTAGATGTCTTAAGGCGGAGTTTCTATCGTCATCACCGGCGGCCATCTTGTCACAGGTAAGCTGATGTAAGATGAGTGATCAGCACGAACACAAATACTCTTATCTCGTTGAAATCTTGACGGATTTACAAACGGTTTGGTTTCTTACAAACGTTATTAACGAGGCTATAATTATCTGGATGATTATTTATTTATACACTTTTTATTCATAAGTATGCTGTGTCATAACTACAGTACATCTCTGACGTTTATAACAAAATTGAGCAAGTTATGGTCATTTAAATAGTACATGTACCATTAACACAATGTTACGAGTGAGTGAGCTGCCTGTGACAAGATGGCCGCCAGGTGCAGACGTCGACCTCCATTGGCCAGCAGCGTGGACGACATATCTAGCCTTTATATACTGTAGATATCTATGGTTAAAACACCCTTGAAATGGGAGGGGCTAGAAGGTAATATTTAGTTGGTAGTCATATGTAATTTCACCGTATGTCTCACGTAATCTCACATATGACGATGTGGTTCAGATGGTAAATGAAAACTCTCAAGTGGGAACGCGTGAAAGCGGAGGTACTGTATGGCTGTCTACGTCCTGATGCAGAGCAACCCGATACACTACAACAACAACAACAGTCGGGGGTAGCTCTAGCCGTTCGCCTGTAAGGTAAACGTTTCTACACAGTGAGTTGGACCAATCAGCAGACGTTGCTGCTACGCTTAGGATTGTGGGTAGTGTGGTTTTTTTCGTAAGATCACGGATAAAGCATGTTTTTCGGTTGACTTCATACAAACTTATAGCTTCAACATAGTTTCAAAAACCTTTGTTTCACAACCTCATAGCTCGTGGTCAGTCTACCTCGGATGGTTTAGACATTAGGGCGGATAATCTAAATCCCGTTTTTACACAACCGTACAGTATATGCGAGTGAAACGGCTTCTCAAACAAGAAAAAAAGTCTAATAGAGCGCAAAACCCCAAATAAAACAATGTCAATTTTGATTTCACTGCCTTTGACTTTAAATAGTTTGCCAGTATTATCGTTTTATACAGTCTGCCATTCCAGTAAAGCCATGCTGACGTGACTCTGACTGTGAGATTGTAGATAAATGATTGTCTGGGAACTGCCTTTGTTGTTTTCTGGTGTGTATGGCCTTGTAAGGTGGGAAACTGTTGCAAGTCAGGCCAGTAAAGTGTCTCCCTCCTGCTGTGAATGAATCCTCCTCTGCCCAGAGCAGATGTTTCCGCTGCTTTCACAGATTTAGACACACCTGCTGCCTTCGGCTTCAGTTCAAGTTAAGGTGAGTCCGGTCTGCATGAGTTTAAGATCTCCTGGAGTTCCTCAGTGTTGTCTGGAGACTGGATAAAATGAGATCTATTTCAGTATATCTAACTGGACGTGTTTCAGCTGCGTCTCACTGAAGCCCATGGACTCGCATTGAGCAGAATTAGAAAATGGTTATTACCACAAAAGTGCTGGGTTTTTGCTTGCTTGTGTTTATTTGTCTTGTTTGGTGAGTGTATTATACTGCAGTTTGTGCAACTGGAGCAAGTTATTAAATCAATAATATCAAACTGCTGCTATCTTACAACTGATTCAGACTGTTGAGAAGTGAAATATTGTGAAATAATTTGTTCTTAACCATAATAGCGGGCAATTTTCATGTCCCCATTCATCACTATTACATTTTTAATGGATTATAGAATTAGTAGACATTTAATTTCTTCCCTAGTTTTGCTTTTATCTCGTTTCCTTTTGTTTTGTTTTATACATATATATTTTCTGAGAAAATGTTATATAAAGAATAGAGTGGAATAATTTTAGAATATAATATCATGTGCAAATATATGTTCGGATCATGTGACTGTGGCACTGAAATTTCAGCGGAATTAATTACATTTTAAAGTAGGCCTAAATTAAAATAGAAAACCATTATTTTAAATTGTAATAACATTTCACAATATTACTGTTTTTACTGATTAAATAAATGAGGCTTGTTGATGACCATAAGAGACTTCAAAAACATTAAAATTTGTATTTTTAGTTCCCGATTTGTTTAGGCACAAATGGCACCATTTAGCAAAGATGCACAGCAAACCGATAAGCCTTATCCCAACAACAATGTAAAAGAAGGTCCCCATCATCCAGCGGTTGACATCGGGTCATCATGGTGAACAAGAGGGGGTTCTGTCTCTTTAAAATGCCCTGACGTCATTCTGATGCAGAACCGAGGATGACCTCGTGCGCGAGGAAGGAGAGAAATCAAACGTATCATATCATATATAACATTCAGCCCTGGTTTTTGGCAGCACCACTACAGTTGTGGTGTGTGTGTGTTCATCATCAGCGCTGTATCCAACGCATAGGAATGCAGCAGGGATGCTGAGAGAGGTGTGTGTGGAAGCGCGCGTTGTCACAGCGACAGACCAGCTTGGATACAGAGCGTCACAGAGAGCGTGAACGCGCACAGGAGAGAGAGCGCTAGAGAGAGAGAGACGGGCGTCGGGCAATCAAAAACCTCACAGCATCTCATCTCCCCCGTTGCACACGCTCCCGGAATCACGGGAAAACGACAGCGGAGCCGGTGAGCATCATTACCGCCGGAATCAGACGCTCGAGAGACCGATAGATTAAACTCGAGACTTCGCTGCCAATGTCAGCGAGTTAAATCGGCGTTTGTAGCCGTAAAACCGTCAAATATCACGAAAGAGAGTCTTGTAGAGACATATAGAGGGGAAAACAGGTCATAGAAGTGAATTCGTGTTTATTTTGTGTTTATTTTTTTCTCCATATGCGCTATTAAAGGAGAAGCTGACTGACCGTTTTTTTAACGGACAAATCCAACTTGACTTCATTTACGTAGACGTTCCGTTGATGGAGCGACGCGCGTGCACGATCCTTCACTTTTGAAATCGTCTTCTGTGAATGTGTGTTATGTCGGGGGTGTTGTCGGGAGAAACCGTGAAACATTTGCTGCTGTTCTCAGACAACGGAGACTCTTGTGGTTTATTCCGAGCTCAGGCTGATGGAATTGCGCTGAAAAACGACTGACAACACAGGGAAATACCCATAGATCTTCAATACACAGACCTCGGATTTCTGCCCACGGCTCATTTCCAGCCAGGTGAAGGTATTTCTATGGCTAATTTACTAATAGCTAGGCTGTTTTATAGTCAGCAGGGTCCGTTGGAATAGTGCATAAAGTGTTGTTGGTATAAAGGGAAATAAATGACCGTGTTTTGCTGTTTAAACTGTGTGTGGTGCTGCAACCTGTTCCGAAATGCTTCATCCCCGCGCGTTTCAATTGGGGCAAAACGGGCACGCGCTGATGGCGCTGTCGCGTGTATGATAGTGTGTGTCGGGAAATAAACGTGCATATTGACCCATTTTAAATAAGCATTGATCATGCTTTAATATTTTCTTTCCTTATTAGCCAACACAGATTCATTTATATGCATATCTTCTCCCTAGTTCTGAAACCAGACACTGTTATCACACATTGTTTTTAGCATTATGTCTCTAACTTTGATATTCCCAAACTTATAGCTTAGGAATTTTAAAATGAATGTCAATTGCAAAGAGTAGGCCCATACCAACCCCATTGAGTTGTAACACCAACAGAAAACATGGACTTTTTTGCCCTGGATTTGTGATAAAATATAGGCTGTAAACCATCAACAGATTAAAAACAGCAAGCTGTAATCAGTGCCAAATTCAGACGAGTATAAAAAAATATAAGCTAACAGTGTCATATTTATGGGACCGTGTCATCATTATGGGCCCAGTATCTATCTATCTATCTATCTATCTATCTATCTATCTATCTATCTATCTATCTATCTATCTATCTATCTATCTATCTATCTATCTATCTATCTATCTATATTTTGTATTGTCTTATACCTCAAAATTGGTCCTTTATATTTGTACACAGAGACATAAATATTTTACTTGGGGAGGGTGTGTGAGCTTGTATAGTGATGTCATCCCATCTATCCTGGTCCATGAATAATTTGTTAAATTGATGGCGTTACAAACAACACTGCCCAGTCTCCCCTGTTTTTGAAATATCAACAATTGTCTAATTTATTTTCTTATATTTGAAAGGGCTTTGACGTCATAAAGCATGAAAATGAGATTATCAAAGAATCACTCCGGCCCACAGCATCCTTCTCTGTCCTCCTGCAACACACACACACACACATACACACAGGAACATAAACCTATCGCCGTATATCAAAGACAAGTAATCGCTGGTTCACTGATGTGCCGAACATCTGATGGGAGGAGAGGTCGAAGCAAGATCAGCAGTTACCACACACACACACACACACACATAGTCTGAAAGAATGGGCCACATTTATATGCTATCCTAGTATGGCCATTCCAAACCTAGTGGATAGCAGAATTGAGAAGAGACAGAAGCGCTCTGTTCTGTGAGCAGGGAATGCTGATCTCTCTCTCTCTCTCTGGCCCGAGTAGCAGATATGGGGCTCACTGTGTCATTTGGGAGCAATGTAATGGATGGGAGCAACTGTGTGACTGTCCTTGTGTTGGACTGATTGGCTACTATAGATGTTCATTTTTCCACTTGGTGCAAAACCGTATACTTTAAACTGTGTTTATACCGAAACATCGACCATATGTGTTCATTTATATAATGTCACAACTATTACATTGTTGCTATAACTTTTTGTAAGACTTTCATGTTGGAACATGGATGTGGAGATTTGCTCCCATTATAGCCTCACTGATGTTGGGCAGGGGTTTCTTCCAAATTAAACGGTTAGTTCACCCAAAAATGAAAATTAAGTCATTAATTACTCACCCCCATGCTGTACCAACCCCGTAAGACCTTCGTTCATCTTCAGAACACAAATAAAGATATTTTTGATTGAATCTGAGAGCTGGATCAGTCCTATACTGCCTAAGGGACTGGCTCTTGACGGCCCATAAAGTCATTAAAGAAAAGGTTTAAATATTCCATGTGCCTACAGCGGCTCAATTATAAGTTTATCAAGCGACGAGACTACTTTTTGTGTGAAAAAAACATAAATAACGACTTTATTCCACTATTCCATTACTTCCTTATGGGCGCATGCGCGTGAACTGAGACGAGGACGTTCTCATTCGTCTACTTCTTGTTACCGGCTGCTCACCGCTTAGGAGTTTTACCGCCCCCTACTGTATAAGATGATGTGCTGATATAGCTGGAAGCGCAATACTTTCTGTTTACAAGCAGAGGAAGATGCGCGCTGTACATACGCTTTTCAATTAGCGTATTTTCCGCACTATAAGGTGCACTTAAAAGCCTTTAATCTTCTCAAAAAACGACAGTGTTCCTTATAATCCGGAGCGCCTTATATAAGGATCATCATTTTATACTGTAGGGGGCGGTAAAACTCCTAAGCGGTGAGCAGCCGGTAAAAAGAAGTAGACGAATGAGAACGTCCTCGTCTCAGTTCTCGCGCATGCGCCCATAAGGAAGTAATGGAATAGTGGAATAAAGTCGTTATTTATGTTTTTTTACATAAATACCACTTAAAAACTGAACATTTCAGACAGAGGCTCAGAATGAAGGTTCAAAATAATCGTTTTTCTGCATTATTATCGTTATTATTTATTTATGTTAAAATGGGGAACAAAATCCATGACATGACCCATTTAAAGATCCCTTGTTCTTTTTTTCACGTAATGCAGATAAGGTATAATATTACATTTAGTGAATTGTTAATATCAATGAATATAATTTTTATGTTAGCAGTAGGCTATGTTTTAATTGGAGCTGATTAATTATGGTCACAATATCTCTTCGTCAAGAACAATTTTTAATGTTCTTCCACACCAGACTCTGTATGTAAACCATTTATTTATCCTCATTACCATATTGGAACATAAAAGTTTTTCCCAAAACAAATTTTAAGCGCAAAATTCTCAAGAATGTTTTCTGGATGCAATATCAGCTATTTCAGCTTTTTTTTTTTTTTGCTGTGTGTGTGTGTGTTAGCAGCAGCACCAGACAGCATGTCTTGTTTATTCATGCAGAAGCAGCGGATCAATGAGCACTAATTGATTTCAATGAACTGATTAAAGACAGGGAGGCAGGAGGCCACATTGTTGGAGGATATACGAGCATGTGTGCATGTGTTTTGTGTGTGTGTGTGATGCTTTGCTGGAGTGTAGACTCTGTGATCTCACAAGATGGAGAGACCAAACATATGGGTGTAGATGCGCACAGAAGTGTGTGTGTGTGTGTGCTGGTCTCGTACCCTGTAACAGATGGGCTGAACTGAGCCAGATAGGGAGTTGGACACCAGGCTCTTGAATCTCCATGTGTTCATTTGATAGTTACTGATTTCTGTGTACTATAGGACTGAATACGCCGTATATTTACCTCAGCATTCGTTCGCTTTGCCCAGAATCTGTTCATTCAGAGCAGCTCCTCGGATTCGTTCATGCTCGAGTGAGGCTGTGATGTATGTGAGTGTGTGTGTTGTATTGTCATGGTTGAATTAAGCTGAGGGATAAAAGGTAGGGCTGTCAAAAGGTCAGATCTGATGGTTTCTCCTGGTTCGTATCATTTCTATCGGTCTCTGTTGTGTGTAGAAAGGGGGCTTACGTCTACAGAACCCATCCAGGTGTTTAGTGGTCTCGGATTAGAGCCGTGTGATGTTGGGATGTAAGGGATCGAGATCGAGGGAGAAAGAGAACGAGATAAAAGCAGGTTTCCCCTCACATCCTGGATTCTCTCTGGTCATGCATCTCAGAGCTTTAAGTCAATTCTGGCCATCATGTCACCACTCGGCAGCCATTTTAATGAGATCCGTGTCCTCACTAGGGTGTGATGGTCCTCCTGTCTCTTCTGGTTTGTGTGTTTCCCGCCGTCCCCCTCTGATAGATTGCTCTATTCTTTTTGTTCACAGCACCTCACTTATCTCTCTCTCTCATAGGCTCTCGTTTTAAGGTTAGATGAAGGTCAATTGCTCAAAAGAATCACATTCACACACACGGCTATCATGGCGTGTGAAGTATACTCATGCAACGGTGTTATAAAACAGACCAGTGAAGAGGGCCAAGGGGATTAAAGACATGAATGGACACACACACGCGCATTGACATCCCTCGGTGTGTGTGTGTGTGAGGCGCCTGATGGGATGCAAGACTTAATGGTGTAGCAAGCAACTCTCCAAAATTATACATTTACACATATCCGGTAGTATTCTCTTATATAAGTTCTGGAGCCTATATAAGAAGTTTGGGGTTGGTAAGATTTTTTTGCACCATTTAGGAGGAGGAGAGAATAAGGCCCTGTTTACATGAGAACGATCACGGGTGAAAACTAAAAAATATTTAATCGGATGTGCCTTTCGTTTACACGGCGACAGCGTTTTGGGGGCTTAAAAACGCAAAAAAGTGAAACCACTCTCCAGAGTGGAAATCTTAAAAACGCTCCACCTCCGCGTTCCCGTGTAAAGGGTAAAAACGCGAAATTCTGCTAGACAGTGAAGGTTGTACGCAGGCGTGCGGACTTGGTGTTGTTGTGTGGCAGTGCTCTACATTGCCATCTAGCCGCCTGGAGTGCATCGTAGGGCTGGGGTAAACGATTATTAACCAAACGATTAGTTGGGCGATTATTTTATCGATTAGTCGACTAATCTAATGACTAATTGGACGACTAATATAAAGAATATTTTTTTCTGCTGCTCAATTAATAAAAAAACAACATATCAAATAAATACTAGCATACTGAATCAAGATACTATAAGCTGGCTAACGTTAGTCTAATGTTATGTATTTGAACACCATCATTATAACTCTACAACCGCGTTATTAAAATATTTTTTACAAACATTTTTTATCATAGAGAATGTTTAAATATTAATATCAGCTGAGGAGGGAAACGGAGTCGGAGGCGGAGTTCACCTACTGATCAGAGCGCGTGCTGACACGGAGTAAAGCCTTGTTTATACTCGACACGTCCGCACGAGCGCGAATGTGTGCACGGCAAAAATGACCGTTTTTGCCGTGGGTGCGCAAGACCAGGAAGACTGTGGCTGGCTGTGTGTACGCCTTTTTTTTTGTAACAGCGCCGCGTCCGGGAACAACTTCAAGCCGAATCTGCCCGAGCTT